CTTTCAGGTTGAACAATACTCGCCGCCCTGTTTTTTTTTTGTGGTCGTGCGTGCTCGGATGCCTAAAGTTATCCTTTGCCGTCCAATTTTCCTATAATCATCGCATAAATGTGGTCCACGGGATCTACAATTGGGTGTTCGTAGGGGTGGATTCTCCTATTTACCGTAACGGATGCGGCGCGGACGGCGTACGGTCGGTGATATTTGCCTTTACCCTCTCTCTTTAGGCCTTGCCGGCAGCTTTCCATTTCGCCATTTCGCACCTCGCTGATATTCCATAATTCCAAAGGGCCACTACCAGGACCTTAGGAAAGATATTTATTGTGATTGCATGCATAGCAGACCCCCTAACTATCCTTTTCGCTTTCGTTGATCCGATTGCAAAAGGTTCGCTCGAATTGTAGACCTTTCGGAGGGCGAAAACGCGGCGGCGATGGCTCCCACAGGGACTTTCCAAGACGGGAGGGCTGCCCTGCCATTCATGGACGGACTTATCCAGTCCCAGTCCGAAATGCGTTGGTAAACAATCCATAACTTTACCACCGTATTCCCACCGCCAATCCTCTCGGATGAGTTTGAATCGTTTTCATCAACTTACTTGAGAATAATATCGCGTGTGTGGGTGTTATTTATTGATTGGTATCATCTCCCTTCCCCCTTCCCATTAAAAAAAAAAAGTGAGGGATACATTAGCAGTAAGTTCTCAAAATGTGTTTCTATCATACAGTGGCAGTCTTTATGGCTTTGTTGAAGGAATCTTGGCCGAGTCCTTCTTTTATAATTTTAGGTGTTGGTAAACGATAGTTCTCGATAGATTTTCACGGTTTAGCGTGAGTTGTACTGCTCAATATACAAAATATATTTCATTTACTTTAACGACTAATCTAAGTGGATAAGGGTAGAATGAATATGTTCCAAATATGAAAGAATTCCTTATTCATGAATTTATCAAGAGGCTCCATACAGTCCACAATATATCGGCTCCTTTAACAAAGGTTTGCAAGAAAAGCTGTCTGGCTCACTTTTTATAAGTTTACAAGTGGTTCAGGCATGCCATTGTTCATGAAAAAAAAAATGGTACTGATAAAGCAATTGTAAATACACTCTCTAGGCATTTTTTCCAACAAAAAAGATTTTATATTAAAGTTCTGACGTTACAAAATTGTGCAAATTTTTAAACGATAATTTGATCACATTAAGATAAATAAATATCACATATATATATATATATATATTTGATAGCATTTCAATTAAATTTCATAATGAGATTTAGAATAATACCCCAATGCATATATAATGGCTCGTCGAACTTTTTATTTAAATAATTATCTTTCCGCATAACATGCACCCCATAAAGTCAACATTCAAGAAATGAAAGAAAAAACGTGCTTTCCCTACGAAAACTACTTCCTATATAAGGAAATATTAGTCGCTCAGGATGAAAGATAAAAGAAAGGAAACTTGGCATTCTGACAAGTTCAAAAAAAATGTACCGATGGGTATTCCTATATAGGTAAATAAAAACGAAGCGTTTTTGCAAATCTTTATTTGACGTATATACATATATCTTTTACAAATTTTAATAAATCATATATATCAAAAAGTGTTAAATGAACATGATCGATTATTTTGGTACTTTATTTAATACTCAAAAGCTATGACAAACGCTTTGTTTCGTTTGGAATTTGGTTAGAATAATTCCAAATGAATCTACACCATTCATCTAATAGCATAACAACATTCGAAATAGCTCGACTTTAAAAGGTATTATTTATTTTGATTGTCATAAAGACAGATTCGAACTATCTTTTGTCATTTTAACATGCCCGTTCTACTTTATCCATGACGATTTAGGTGGTGTAGTTTAGTACAACCAGCGACCATGCAAAAAGATTATTTTACGATGTAAGTTCAAGACATTCACCCCCCCCCCTTTAATATCTCCAAGACTCTTTTTACTTCTTCACATTGTAGTCCTTAATAATGGAAAATACAATATCTTTAAAAATCCCACTTGGAGAGCGCTTCGCTTCTTTAAAGTCTTCTTGAGATTTTATCGCACGTCTGGTACGCATGTCCCCCAGCGCTTTAAGTAACTCCTGCAGATGTTAAACAGGGATAAAGATAATAAAGACGCATTATAATCAATCAGAAAAATACAGGAGCCCAAAGAGAGAACCCTGTTTCTCCTTTTCAATTTCATATGTGAAAGGGGCTCCCCCCCCCCTCCCTTTTTTTCCCAAAAGGTCTGGTCTTCACCAGAGACGTCGCGCAAAAAGGAAATCAAGGGCGGAGAACCGAATGGGATATCCTAATTATGGCGTTAGAATGCGATTCCACCATGTCTCCTAAATGGGTAATATAAAAGTGGATTCGACCTACAAGCCTTGTAGAACTAACTTCCCTATTGATTGTGTTATTAAACATTTCACGAGGGGTCTTCAATCCTTAGGCTGCTGACTGTGGTATTTTACCCTAACTCTGTGAAGAATAAAATACAGTATTAATAGCCCGCTCCCGAGAACTGAGATGAGCGTTTTTTTTTTCAAAATATTGAATTGGATCGCTTTGGAAACCCGGTGGGGCCATCTTAGCTCGAAATTATCGTGTTTAATTTCCTTTGATATGCCCTCCACACACGCGAGTTGTCTTCAACGACTGCGCCACGATCCATTAATCTATTTAAGTTCTGGCACTCTTTACAGATCTTATTAAAACCAATTCACACCATCGTACCGGTGTTTTTATAATATATCAAACTCTCAGTAGGCATCCCTGTACAAATACCTCAAGTTCAGTATTTCTTCTATAAAATATTTTCTTTTGAGGATGTCGATTTCTGATTGTCCACATTGACTCTATTTCTTTAAGAAATAAAACAGGGTCCTCAATAACATCAAGTCTTAAAGGGTATAATGTACATTTTTTTTTAACGGAATAGGTGGCTCCGATGTTAATAAACCATTTCCGAAGTATCATTTTCCTATCCACTTAAATTCCTGCCCTTGTCCAAGTTGTCGTAGGTTCACATTCATCCCAAGCGCCTATGTTGAGTTATACATTGTCAAATTTGCACTATAAATTAATAAAAGGCGGAGCTGAAACCTGACGAGCATGATATTCAGACTTATGTTTGCATGAAAAAGGCGCGTTGTTGGGGCTTTTTGATCACTTTTTCATGAAGGAAAGGGAAACCATAATCCAATGCATTAATATTAAATTATGAGCATCCATAGGAGGAGATGCAATCGTTTAAAAGTGTGGTATGGAGATTAGCAAACTGAAGAAAACTCACCTGTGCGGATTTTCGCGGCGGTGTATTCGTCTTTATGATTGTTATGGTTTAATGTTTGGAGAAACCGCTTTGTGGGGTTTAGCCTATTTCTCCCCCTACCAATGAACATAGGGCAATGTTCACACCATCCCCTTACACCCTCCGTGGATTAAACAGTGCGGGGTTGTCCATTACTTGCCCAAAGGTCAATCCATTACTTCTCCCAAGGCGCCTGGGACGCCCCGTTTATGGCCTCGATTAAAAGAATCTGAAAGGAGGCGTTCTGCTCCCGCTTCTTCAGCCCCGAGGCGTACTGAAAATTATCATTCAGCCCGATCCACAGCGGCTTGTTCGCCCTCCCGAGCATATAAAGATGAGAGGCCACCGTCTGCGCGTTGGCGGCGCTGCGGAGCATATAAAAGCCGTAGCTTTTGGTCGTCAGCGAGTGGTGGAACATCTCCTGGAGGAGGGCGACGTAGTGGTCCTCCAGGCGGCCCAAGACCCCCCCCGCGGCGCCCGCCGCGATGTAGGGGATGGGGTAGAGGCCGTGGAGGGCGCGGGTCGTAGCGCGCGGCGGGCCCCCGGGGCGGAGGCCGGGCAGCCACCAAAACCCCAAGTCCTCGAAGAGCCCGGGGGCCTGCAGACGGACGTC